ACCGTGTTAAGTTTCTGGTCCTTCCAAACAACATTATTTCTCCTCTTCCACAAGCTCCATAAAATAGATATAAACCTCTCCCTTATCTCCCCATTGCTATCCGTAAGATATACTTTGATCTAGTCTTCAATGGATTTGTTGTCCTCCGTGAGAATATTCGCCTCCTTCCACACATCTTTCACCCATGAGCACCCTCGAAACACATGCTCAATGGACTCCATCTGGCTATCACACAACTTGCAACCACTTTGGATAATCATGCCTCTATGCCTCAGATTGCGCGTTGTCAACCGTGGGGATAGAGCCATCTAGTATCTGCCATAAAAAATATTTAAATTTAGGTGGTACCTTAGCCTCCCATAACTTCTTCCAGGATTCAGTCAGCCCACTCTGAAACTCCCCCATTAGGAGGCGGTAGCAACTCTTAATCGAAAACAACCCATTTTTCTCCCCCTTCCACCAGAACCCGTCGGCCCTCTCCCTCCTACTTATAGGGATACTCAGGATTCTTTCTCTATCTGCTGCATTAAAAATTGCATTGATTCTATCTCTATTCCACTTCTTCCCGATAAAATCTCTTAATGCTGCTCCATTCATGTCTTGCACCCATTGAGGCTTAGGTGAAGTAATTCGTCTCTCATCTTCTCCTGGCAACCACCAGGCATCGGCCCAGACCTGGACTTTTAACCCATTTCCCACCCTACACCGAATATTGTTCTTGATAATACTCTGAGTCTAAAAAATACTCTTCCAAATAAATGATGGATTACTTCCCAATTTTGCCTGGAGAAAACTGGATTGGGGATAGTATTTTGCTTTCATGATCTTGCTCACTAGGCTGCCTTCATCATTCATGAGCCTCCACCCCTGCTTTGCTAGCATGGCGAGATTAAACTCCTGAACCCTTCGAAAACCCAATCCCCCAACCTCTTTTGGTTTACATAATTTCTGCCAACTCCTCCACCTGAGCCCTTTTTTATCAAGCTTTGAGCCCCTCCACCAGAAGCCATTCATTAGTTTCTCAATCTCATCACACAACTCCTTCGGTAGAAGGAAGACATTCATAGCATAATTTGGCATAACCTGAATGACATTCCTTAATAAAACAGCACGCCCCGCCCTAGATAGGAACCGATTATTCCAACTCTTTATCCTGTTTAGAACTCTATCCTTTAGATAGCCCAATATAGCCGTTTTATTCCTCCCCACAAGCCCCAGTAGCCCTAAATACCTCCCCTGAGTGTCCTCGGCCTCCACACCCAAAATAAGACGACACTGCTCCTTCATTTGATCTGTTGTGTTTGGACTAAAGGTAATAGAAGATTTTTGGAAATTTACCCTTTGTCCTGACACTTCTGCATAATTATTCAAGTTATTTTTTATCACTTCCGCCTCCACTGGAAATGCTCGAAAAAAAGAAAGCTGTCGTCTGCAAAAAAAAAAGATGTGAAATCTTCGGAGCTCCTCTACACATGGCCACCCCATGTAGTCTACCCCCAAATTCTGCTCTTCTGATCATGGAACTCAGCCCTTCTGCCACCAGAATAAACAGATAAGGTGATACATTATCCCCTTATCTGAGCCCCCTACTTGGAGTAATAGGGCCGATTCTCCCATTATCAAACTGAACGTAATAGCTTACCGAAGATACACATGCCATAATCACCTGTGTCCATCTTTCAGCGAAGCCCATTCGATCCATAATTTGTTTCAAATAACTCCAGCTAACTTTATCATATGCTTTACTCATGTCCAGTTTTAAGGCTGCGAATCCTTCTTTTCCTTTCTGCTTTCTCTTAAGGTAATGTTGAGTCTCAAAGGCCACCATAATATTGTCTACGATGGACCTCCCTGGAATAAAGGCACTCTGACTTTCCCCAATCAGATTCCCTAGCAGTCCTTTCATACGATTAGCAAGCAATTTAGAAATAATTTTGAACACCACATTACATAACGCTATAGGCCTCTAGTCACCCATACTTTCCGGTTTCTCCTTCTTTGGGATTAAAACAATATTGGTAACATTTAACTCCGAGTGAATATTACCTGAAGCAAACATGTCCCTACATAACCGAACAATATCCGGCCCCACAATGTCCCAATGTCTCTGGAAGAAAGCTGGATTCATCCCATCCATCCCAGGAGCCTTCTCAGGATGCATATCAAAAGCTGTTACCTTCACTTCCTCCGCCAGAATCGGCCTAAGTAAAGCCAAATTGTCCTCCTCCCCACCCTGGTTTAGAGTACCAAGTAAGTCAGCCCCCTCTCCATTGCTTGATTTAGTAAAAATATCCTCAAAATATGTGTGAATCATCTCCCCCACAATCTTGCGATCAGTAACCCAAGCACCATCATCTTTTTTCAAGCCATTGATTTTATTCCTCCTTCTCTTTGCCTTAACCATATTATGAAAACTTTTTGAATTTGTGTCTCCTTCTCTCAACCAGAACTCCTTTGCCCGCTGCCTCCAGTATGTGTTCTCCTTTTCTAACAGCTCGCACACCAAAACCCGCACCCTTAAAAACTCTGCCACACTATGAGCATCATCTCGTCCTCTTAGCCAAGATAGCCTTTTTTTGCAGGCATTAATCTGATGTCTAAAACCTTGCATTCTACTGTTATCCCACCTCATTAGCTCCTTCCCACAGAAATTAATTCTATCACAAATGGGCATCGGTACACTTACCGACCAACTATTAACAACTATAGTTCTGCATTCCTCTTCCCGTAGCCAATTATTTTCAAATCTGAACGTCTTTTGCTTTTTGCCGCGAACTGTTGGACTAATTCTCAGGGTTAACGCCATATGATCACTAGTTGGCACTTCAACCGAGCATCCTCTTGCTTCAATAAACATATCCCACCATTGATCATTGACAAGGATTCGATCAAGTTTTTCTTCCACTCCGCAGTTATGTCCAGGTCTATGCCAGGTCAACTGGTACCCATCAAAAGGGAAGTCACGTAAGCCGCTAGTTTGCACAGCTTCCTGAAACCCTTTGATTCGCCAAATCGGATGAATAACACTCCCCTTCTTCTCGGAGTCATATAGAATATCATTCATATCCTCCATAACCAGCCAGGGCAGATTACTAATCTGAGCCAGCCTCTTTAACATTGTCCACGCATCTCTTCTTCTAACCGTCTCCGGGTATCCATAGAAACCTGCAGTAAACCTCCATGTTGACTCTCCAGCCAATAGGCATACCTGACAATCAATAAAGTTTGAGTGAACATCCTTAATCGATATATCCACCTCCTCATTCCAACCCAGCACGAGACCTCCACTTTGCCCTGCCGCATCATGCCCTTCCACGTTCATAAACCCCAGGGACCGAAGGATGTCCTTCGCTCGCTGGCATCTTAATTTGGTTTCCATTAGGAACAAGATTAAGGACGAAACTGCTGAACAATATCGGTCAGACACTGGAGCGAGGCCGGATTCCCTAATACTCTACAGTTCCATGTTAGGGCACTCATTTTAAACAAAACGATGTGCACGTCCACCACCTTTAGAGGAATAAACAAACAGAATAAAACTCCTCTGGAACCGAAAACACCGTCTAACCAAGAGCAAGAACCAAACTAACGAAGAAAAACGCGGTGGCTACCCAGGTGGATACGCCGCCGGACACAACCTTTTTTTCTCAAATGCCTAACTATGTAACTTAAATAATAATAAAGTGATCCTCGTCTTTATTTTATGAACTTCGTTAGATACTTTTACTATATGATTTACGTTAATCTTGGATATTTTATGAACTTCGTTAGATACATGCCCATAAATGGACATGACCGGCCCTGGACATTGGATACATGGGTATGGCGTAATATATACCGTACAGCCGGCTGTACCTAGAGCATGGTACAGCCGGGTTTTTTTGTAATTAAATCCAAGTTCAGTGGTAAAGGTTAGGTTAATGGATGCTGCTGCTTTTCTTTTCCCCACTGCTCGTCCGCCGATTTTTTTCTTTTTCGCTGATGGCTGCTACGGACTACCAGCGCCAAGCTTGGGAAATACGGAGTACCTCTCACGCACTATGGCTTTACTCCGTTTTCTTTTCTTTTTGGTTTCCTCTTCTTTTCGTTGCTTTTCACTTTCATTTAATCGTTTCTTTGCTTTTCACTTTTCGGTGGTTTTTCATTTAATCGTTTCTTGCTTTTCACTTTTTGTTGTTTTCCTGTTTTAGTTATTTCTTTTCTTTATTTTTTCTTTAAGAATTTTTATAAGTTATTATTCATAATTTATGTATACTCATTTAGATTTGTGTAATGCTCATTTCAAAATGTGATATCCATGCATATTGGTGTAATGCTCATTTAAATTTTTTCACTACTCATTTCGTAAGCTATATATGCTCATTTTGAATGAGCCTTTTGAATTTTTTGATACTCATTCGTAAAGTGAGTATGCTCATTTGATATTGGTGTACTATTAGATTCAATAAAGAGGGTTTGATACTCAAAGCAAATGTCTTGATACTCAACTAAAAAAATATGATTTTCATATTAATACTCTTTTTGTAAGTTACACATGCTCATGCAGTACTCGAATTATGCTCATGTTAAAATGTTCTTCCAATACATATTTAAAAGAGTATCATATTACATTATATTCACATATGGAAGTTCATAGAAGTTTACTATACATACAATTTAATGAATTTTTATAAAAGAAAAAAATAAGAAAAAAAGTGGATTACAATATATGAAGTTGATATCACAATATTCATTGTTCGATTCTTAATACTCAGTAGAATATGTCTGATGCTCATTAAAAATGTATTAATGCTCATCTAATCACAATCGCGATTTTCAGTGAAATTACAAAAATGCCACCGTTTTTTATTTGTGATATCAGCTTTCATGTAATGACACCGTGCTCATTACTAGATTATTAGTACTCATTACAATTGGACTACTGTTCATTAACATTTCACTAATACTCGTCTAGCAGAAACCATGGTCTTCACTAAATTTACAAAATTGCCACCGCCGGCTGTACGATTTGCACCGTACAGCCGGGTGTACGGTATAGGCACTCTGGGTATGGTATATGTATTGGATCCACATGTGAGCAGCAAGACACCAACGAAATTAGTTGAAGGGAGAAAGAGCGGTGCTCGCTGATCGTCTATGGAGACTGCCGTTTTTGGTCGAATTCCCCTCTCTCCCAATTATATCTCTCACATTAAACCTGGTACTCTACCCTTATCTCTCTCTCTCACGCCCATAGCAAGGTCGATTTTTTGTTTGTTTCTGACTATAATTTTGTGGTTATCTTCAAATTGTGAACATCTTCGATGATTTCGATTTTACTATTTCGGGAGACTGCAACTAAAGTTCAATTTTAGCGTCTTTTTACCAGCAAGCTTGATCAAGTGTTGTTATATATAAGTCCCAGTACAGTCTGTCATTTTTGGGCCATACAGCTTACACCAATTTTTGTAAATTTTTAAGTGAAAATCGAGAATTCTGTTAATTTAAGGCTTGTCCGGTAAAGGCGGCAATGGCTGAAACTGTTGTAACGGCTGAAAAGCCTCAATTTGCTGGATTTGGTGGAGTGAAATTGTTTGGTAATATGCTTGGGCAGAAATGACTGATTGAATTTGAATGTAAAATTATGATACTACGTATTAATTTCATGTTGTTTTCAATACATTTGATTACAATGCACCCTTACCCCCTAACTCCTTATTCGGCCTCAAAATATTCTGTAGAGATTTTTTTTGAAAGAAAGTGACGTATATTTAATAATCAGAATTCAGGCAAGATACAAAAAATATTTTGAATTTAAAATACTTAAAAGTATTTTAAATTCAAAGATTTAATAGGAAGAAAATTGAATTACCTGTGAGTTTAAAAAAACATAATAAGTTCAAAATAAAGCAAGAATATTCACGGATTTCAGGCCACATAAAAAATAAGATCACCACAACGTATTAAACCCACTACCCAAGCAGCCAAACTTCCGCCTTCATGAGATAAATACGGACTTCTGTAGCAGCGCAGCAGGAAGGCTTCAAGCCTTGAAGAAGGATATATGTGTATTTTAATAACTTAACATTACAAATGTACAATAATAAATTTCAGCCAAAGAAGTAACCTCAAGGCTACTTTTTCAGTTGAAAATAAGAACCGGCCTAATCAGTCCAATGAGAGGGTGTTTGGCGATTTTCATGCATTTTCAGGCTTATAAGCCGATTTTAATTCCTCCAAACGGCCACTTAGCATTAATGCACTTTTACCGAGTCTATTGAGTATTAGGAGTGTAATAATGAGCATCCTGATCTCTGCCTCATATCATTTAATTCACTTTCATTTTATTATTTTTTTACAAAAATCTCTTAAATTAAATCTATAATCAACTCTTATGAATTTCAATATGCGAATCTAATTTAATACTATATATTATACTTTTGAATTATGTATTGATATGAAAATTGTATGTTCTGCTAGCTGAGAATCAAGACATTTCCATTGAGCATCAAGCCTCCTTTGTTGAGCATTAAAATTTCATATTGAAATGTCAGACCCATATTTCAGAGATTGTAAATGTCACCCCTCAATTATTCAAATTGTTGTAAATGTGGTCCTTTGAGGGGTGAAATGTACTTCTCGCCTACATTGTACATTTCACCCTTCAAAGGACCATATTTACAGCAATTTGGACAATTGAGGGGTACATTTACAAAATCAGGAACACGAATCTGACATTTCAATATTGTGACTATTTGAGGGACTAAAAATGTGTTTTTCCCTGCTTAAATTATATCTATAATCATCTCTTATGATTTCAAATTTGCAAATCCAATGTAAAATTATACTTATGAATTACGTAGTATGTATTGATATGAAAATTGTAAGCTCTGCTAATTGAGCTTCAAAACATTTTCATTGAACATCAAGTCTCTTCTATTGAGTATTGAAATTCTACATCAAAACCCATTGGGCATCAAAACAATTTCATCGAGTATCATGTTCTCTAGTATTTAACATTGGGAGCATGTGATCAAACATCTTCATTGAGCATTGGAAAGCATCGAGCATTGACTATTGTGTTCTCTACTATTGCGCATTGAGTTTATGTGATTATGTTTCAATCTGGTCGTCGTGAGATCCAATCTAACATGCGGCAGTGGTGTGAGTTTCGTCGGCTAGGAAAAGTCGGTGAGCCACGAGCATGAGCCTCTGCTGCAAGACGAGCGTCGGGTGCATGTAACTAGGTTGGGTGCGAGCGGCGAGTCTCGAATGAATCAGGCGTCACCTATGAAGCGAAGAAGAAATAACTAGGTTGCAGTAAGAGGAAATTTGCTCTTTATCAAACTGCATTAATGGATGAAGCCTGCTCTTTGCAATGATGTTAATGGTGAAGGTCGGAGTTGAAGGGGTCGAGCGTGCGGCGAAACTGGAATTAGAGAAGGAGGGGGAAAAGGTTTTTATTTAACATCAAAGTTTTTATAATCAAAGGTTTCAAAAATATTCGATTGTACCCTCCCCAAGGTACAATCGGTTGTATAATATTGATGTCCTTAGCGACCTGAGGTTGGCAAAACCGAGGGGGGGTCGAAGAATAATCAAAGTATGAACTAAGTAGGGAATTTGGCCGAGTAATAGTAAGCTAGAAAATCAGAATTGCGATCTCTTTCCACAAGTTGGAAGGTAATATTTATAATGTACAAGAGAATACTTAGTAAACAAGTAAAAGTAATTGATCCTTTAATCTATTGACACGTGTAAAGCTAATTGGAAAGATAATATCTGATTGATTGGTACTATTGTACGGGCTTTTGTCCTTATGTATTGGAATAGCTGGGTAAGCCACATGTGTAAACTTGGCAGCTGGCGTGTGTAACGAAGTAACCGAATTATGTGACACCAACCTTCTAGGCTTCTAACAGTTGTCTTATGATGACACAACCTTGAATGTTGTGTAATCTTGGTACTGAAACATTTAAGTCAACAATCTTCATCTAAGGTCCTGAACTCAGTCTCATGTATCAAGCTCGGGCGTAAGTGTTTTGGCTAAGAGGTGGGGAACATCGGCTCATAATGTGAAATGAGACTGCCCTTGTTGATCTCAAGCTCTTAATGCGGGAACTAGCCTGAGGCTCGGCCATAGTGTTGGAATCGCTACCGACCTCAGCGAGGGTCGACCTCGGCCTCGGTTGCGGGGTGGGATTTATCTTGATGATCTAAGAGTCGGTCTTGAGCTCTACCTCGACGGGCTCTGACTCGGCCTCAGCCGGAATTGCCAAAGTGGATTCTGAGGAGTCCTTCTCATAAATGTTGATACCCTTGTGGTATACGATAATATACTCCATGAAATATAATTTGCCCCAATTCCAAATCTTCCCTCAAAAACATGATTCAGAATAATTTGAGGATGTGCAAAGTAGGGGGATTATTTCCTTCGTTGATGCACTGAAATGGCTAAACCAGAAATAAGTAATAATCAAAATAAGTAAGGCTGAAGTTACTTTTCTGACTGAATGGGCTGAAATGAGTGGAGATGACCATTTTAACTATTTTCATGTAGTATTTTCTTTATTTTATTAAAAAAGTACATTTTTTTCACAATTTATCAATTGCATTAGATTTAATCATTTAGCCGATTCGGCTAATTTGAGACTTACCAAACAGGCTCATAATCATTCATGGACTGTGTAGCACAATGAGCTTGAGTTGCAGCTAATGTTTCGATCGAAGTTCTTGAGCACATTTGGTAACACTAAAGTTGTCTGAATTAGCGGAATCAGGTGAAATTTTGGCTGATGCAGTTAAATTTGCTGAATCTGCTTAATTCTGAAAAATTATACTCCCTCCGTCCCCCAATTATTGTCTCATTTCCTATTCACTTGGTCAACACAAATCACTCTTAATCTCTTACTTTATATATCAAATTTTTATCAAATTTGATTCAGATTTTTGCGACTTTGTAAAGCTTTTAATGTAGTTTCTGAATATGTAATAATTTTTTTCTAAAAATAATTTATGTGCGGACAGGGATCTGTTTGCTTTATCGTCGGTCAAGCATCGTAAACCGCAATGGGACAATAACAGGGGGACGGAGGTAGTATTTAATATACGTAGTACTCCCCCTGTCCTGTTGGAAGGTTCCCGTGGGTAAGTGGCACGAGTTTTTAGGCAAGTGGTTAAATAAAATAATTTGGGTAAAAAAGAGGGAAGAGATTAGAAAAAGTAAACATATAAAGTAAAGTAATTAAAGGGAGATAAGTTGGGGGAGGGAAAATTGTGAGACTTGACATGTAATGAGTTGGAAAGATAAATTTGAGTAAATGTGTAATTAAAGAGAATAAATTATTTCATAAAATGGAATGAGAACCTTTCAATGGGACACCCAAATAAGGAAAGTGAAAACCTTTCAACGGGACGGAGGGAGTATATTTTATTGAAAAAATAAAGAAAAATATGAAAAATATCTAAAATAGTCTGTTTTAGCAAATTCAACAAATTCAGATAGAAAAGTAACTTCAATCTTACTTTTTTATTATTATACAACTTTAACATGCAGAAAATTGGCCGATATGCCGAGAACAGGGGTTACCAAACGATGTTTTGGTGTTACTCACTTACTCAAGTAAATTTTTGGATAAACTTGTGTTAGAAAAGCAGAATTGGTAACCGAAAAATATAAAATCACGTGAGAAGGTAATATGTTTTTGTATGCAGTGGAGTTGAATAAAGTACCCCCAAAGGACAACTTTGGTAAAAGAAGTCTGCAACTAAATGGCCTGATTAAAAAACCAAAGGCATTAGCTTTCTCTCTTCAACTAATCTTTCTCCAGCTCCCGTGCTTCAACCTATTTATTAGGCTGAAATACCAAACATACCCAGTAACTACCATTCAGAAGTAGAGTATGTGGGCAGTGAAATGTACGGAGATCTTACCTTTACCCCTGGGAATGAGGAAGTTGTTTCCATGAAGACCCTTGGCTAAGGAAATATTCAGGAGGTTTTGTAAAAAGTTCCAAAAAATAAGCATCTTTGAAATTTTATGAGAAGATTTTATTAAAACCTTGAAGTTGGGACAAAACAAACTAAGATGAAATAGTGTAAAAACAGTATGGTAAGAAACTGTTGGGGAAAAATGGGTAAGCAATACATAAAATAGCAAAATACAGCTGCTAAAAGGAAAGTGTGAAAATAAAGGTCACCAAACACTTTTCTTGTTAGAAAATTCAGCCACTTCTGGCAAATATCTCTTACTAAATATGCCTTGATTGCCTTCTATTGATTGCAATAGTATTCTTCATGTTTAGATGTTTATAGTTCTCCATTTGTTTGTTTCAAGTTCTCTACATGCTCTCCCTACTTGCTTATTACCGTACTCCCAAATCTATGTGAATCTCTTAATATTTGTTTTACCTCTAACAAAAAAGATCATGTTTGTAATATTAATTTCAATATTAAAACGTGACTATTTTGTTGGGTGACTGAAGACATGGTGGTGGTGATGATGATGATGATGATGATGATGTTAAACAAACAGGAAATAAGAATCACTTCAATAAACAATGGGGAAGCCGGAATGTAATGGCAGTGCTGATTGCTGGAAGTGGCAGAGGTGGCGGCGGGTTGTTAGATAGGCCTGTAGTAGAGAAAACAACTCCTTCCCGTGAATCTGAGATTCATTTGAGGTGTGTATACCACTTATTGCTCTGATAAATTAGTCTATGCCCTTTCACCTGATAATTGCTCTCAAATATCGTCCTTTCATGGCATCTCATATTTGTAGTTTTGTCCTCTTTTTCATTCGATTTTTCTGTGGAATGAGGGAGAAATGTGAGTTTTGAAATTTCAGTTGGGGAATTAGAGAGTAGTAGAAGTATAGAATTGAAGCAATCGAAGCAGATTAAACTATTAGTCCTTTTTTATTATTGCATTGGTAAATTGTACTTCATGTTGTGTCCTTATGTCATACTCCGTAATTATCATGAATTCATGATCTAGTCGTGCTTTCCACTTGCTAGGATGAGTTTTTATAACAGAAGTCTTGTAATGGGGCATGACTAGCAACTACCCCAGCTCATCGTCATCTCATGATATTTTCATGCAAATGAAAAAAAAACCTATGATTACGACTATCTTAAATTTTTGTCTCATTATTCCTTTGTGATAAGGTCGCTACCCTGGAGAGCATTTGACCATTGATGTAGCCAAGGTTTCCCCAAAATCCACATTTGGTGTGGGCTAAAATTCATTACTTTATAAATTTATATAGTAAAAGGTTTACATGCAAAATGGATGTTTTTGTTCCAAACTTGGGACTGGTGATGCCCGGAGTCCCAGACCCCCACCTCCCAGTTTCCCACTATGCCTGGTCGCCAGGACAATAAGCGCAAAAAATTGCACTACTATGATATGTTTTGCATGAATTACAACGGCAACAACCAAACCTTAGTCCCCAAATCATTGTGAGTGGTTACATGAATCTATATATGATCTCTTTGAGGTCCTCCCTGAAAACCGTATTAAGTCATAATAATGCTTTCCCTAATATTTCTTCATGTTCTAAATGGACCCTTAAGGTGCAGGTGATGGTGGCCAGTTTGTCTTTCTCATAAGGAAAAGTAATAGTTACTGAACCATGAGCTGTTTTTCATTAATATTATGCACTCTGTTTTAATTTGGGTACAGAAAAGAAAGGAAAATGTCCCCATCATATTCAGTGATGTTGCATAATGACGATTACAATAGGAGGGAGTATGTGGTGCAAGTGCTGATGAAGGTCATACCTGGGATGAGCCTTGACAAAGCCGTTAACATAATGCAAGAGGCGCATCACAATGGCCTCTCAGTCGTCATTACTTGTCCCCAAGTCGATGCAGAGCAGCATTGCATGCAGCTGAGAGGCAATGGCTTGCTGAGCTCCATTGAACCCGCTGCCGGCGCTTGTTGACTTTTAGTACAAATAAACTACTCCTACTAGCCTTTTGTCAGTCTATATGTACATAGATCCGTTAAGACTTGATGAAAACCATGTATATATCACTTCCCGTGAAAGTGAAAACGATCAAAAACGATGCACATTATGATTCACGGAGATACAGATTTATAGTTGAAATAATGTACTGTTCTAATTTGCACTTTTATGGTTAAAATAATGCATAGTTCAAATGCACATTTTCTAATTTATGGTAATGCACACTTCTTTACATAATGTACAATACATAAATCCTAACGTTCCAGAATCATTTTCATTCCTCTTCTTAGATAATGTTCTCATTTGAATCCAATTATATATAGGGTCCAGTTGCAATAAAAAGTTGTCTTTCCATACAAAGTGTGAATGACTCCACTTTTGAAAATCTGATGTGCACTATTGCATCGAGATGTTTTCCGTCATCCACTTTTTAAAAATTGGATGACGTCGCCCTATTTAAAAATGATGTATTGTTAAACATACATCCTAAAAATTGGATGTCATCCTACTTAAATGGATGTGCACTATTGCACTATCATATATTCATATCTATGATGACTTGTGGGGATGACGAAAAAACTATTAAACGAGCATATAGAAAAATTGTGCTAAAAATGATGTATTATTGAATATTTGAGTTTATTGATTATTCTAACGTTGTAGAAAAATTATTGTTGAATTTATTGGAAGAATTCCCGGATGAGCCGAATACACAAAATGAAAAGTGAAACTCAATGGGAGACAAAAGGACAAGGGTGGAGACGGGGGAGGCTGGTAGGGGGCCTCGGCCCCTACAAGGAAAAAATTGCAATGTATATGCATATGTATAAATACTTATTAGTAGTAAAAAAATATAGTGAAAATTTATACTTTGACCCCCGCTATATAAATTCTTTAAGCCTCGACCTCCCTAACCTGCCATTCCTTACTCCGCCACCGGAAAGGGAGTAAGTAAACTAAAAAGATAATTTTGGGTGTTAACAATGCGTGTACAAAAAATATTGAAATGTGTCACTTGCATTTTCGGAATGTAAAAAATGGTGTAAACCACGTAATCGATTACCTTAAATAGAAACGTATTTTTTCAAGAATTAAGTTCAAAACAAAGAGCTCTCTGTTTTAGTGGCAATCAATGAATGCATCCAAATTATTTGTTTTTGAATATATATATATATATATATATATATATATATATATATATATATATATATATATATATATATATATAGGTAAGAGATCAAATACAAACCATGCTTAAAATACTAACCTACAAACTTCATGATATGCAACACTTTAAACATTAATATGCAGTACAAATAATCTAAAGATGCACACTTTGAACTTTAATATGCAATACAAATAATATGAAGCACTTTGAACTTCAATATGCAATACAAATAATATGCAACACTTGAACTTCAATATGCAGTACAAATAATGTAAAGATGCACAGTTTATGACAGTTTGTAGGTTAGCATGGGAGAACTAGTTTGTATGTGATCCCACCCCTATATATATATATATATATATATATATATAGGGTGCGGTTCCGGTGAGAACACTTCTTAACGTGAGAAATGAGAACGCTCCAAAATGATGCACTTATCATTCACAAAAATGCACATTTATAGTTAAAGTAATGCAAAATTCTAATGTGCACTTTTACGTGTAAACTTTTGCACGGTTGAAATGCACATTTTCCAATTTTTCATATGCACATTTCTGTTTTACATGATGCACAATGCTAAAATCCAACGCTCCAAAATCATTCTCATTTCTCTCCTAAGATGGTATTCTCATTTGATCCTTACCCTATATATATATATATATATATATATATATATATATATATATATATATATATATGGTGGGATCACACACACACACACACACACACACACACACACACACACACACACACACACACACACACATATATATATATGGGAGGGTTCTGGTGAGAAAGGACTCCCAGAAGAGAAATGAGAATGAATTTGGACCGTTGGATTGGATTATGTGAAGTTGAATTGTGCAATTGATGAAACCGAAATGTGCATTAGGTGAAATTGAAATGTGCAGAATAAAAAGTACAACTCAAATGTGCTTTACAGGAAATTGAAATGTGCATAATAAAAGGCACAAAAATGCCCCCACATAATAATTTTTATTCTGCACGTAATGCAAATTTCAGTTTAACCTAATACATAATTCAGTTTCACATAATGTCACTATGCCTTACCTTTTGTGCTGCACATTTTGACTTTATCTAATGATCATTTCAGTTTCAGCTAATGCACATTCAATTTCACAAAAGCTCTATTCGAAATTGCATCAGAAAGGGGTTATTGTGCATCAGATTGACATTTTGGACGGCTGAGATTAATTCTCATTTTACACGTTAAGACTTTTTTTATTTGATCCAAATTCTCTCTCTCTCTCTCTCTCTCTCTCTCTATATATATATATATATGATGGAGTATATGGCCCAGGAACCCCCCGGCCCATAGACTCCTGCTTCTCCTACACAAGTTCGTCGAGCCCAGAGAACAACTCAAGCCCAATTGTGACGGCCCAAGCCTCAAAATAGCCCAGAATACATACTGGGGTGCCTTCGGCCTCCCTGGCCGAAGGCTCCAGACCTCACAGGATGGCCTTTCTGGCATAAGAAGCTGCTGGGAGGAAGTGACAGAAAACGGGAGCCTTCGGCACTGTGGAGCCCTCGGCACCAGGGGAAGCCTTCGGCTGAACCAAGCCTTCGGCCACACAAGGCTTTCGGCCGCACAGGGGTCCTTGGTCACATGGAGCCCTCGGCCACACCAGGAGCCTTCGGCCAAACATGCTCAATCATCGAAGATTCCTTTTGGAGACAGCCAACCACCGCATTTAATGCCACGTCACATCCGCCAACCGCATTCAATGCAGTGAACGTACCACTGCCGGTGCCACCCGGCTGATGTGACCCCTCGGTCGTCGGATTACTGACACGTGTACTCTCATCGCATTTATTGCTGCTATAAATAGCAGCCCTTATTCACCTTGTAAAGACGCGCTGAGTTCATTTAATAAATCGACTCTCTCTCCTCCTATTTTGCTCTGACTTCTCTCTAGTTATTCCTGCAATAACCCCTCGGATAAGATACCCCCCGGGTAGACTATCCATCATTTGGTGCTCTCGTTGAGAGGTTCTGAACTATCAAGTAAGAAACCCTCCCCCTCTACCAAATACAGAACACCTACCAAAAATGGGAAGAACCACTCGTGCCCAATCCAAAACCCTTGAGGAGAACCACGTAGCTCCCGGCGAAGCTAATGGGGCTGAGGCCTCCAACAGGCTCTTAGTGCCCGAGGGTGGTATCATCCTCGAATTGGAACAGGCTACCGCTGACCTCCGTCAGCAGCTACAGAAAAACGCTCCCGATGCCCGCATTGGCCTTGATAATCGAAGGAGGGATCGGAGTGAGAACCAAGTTCCCCCTCCGGCCCCAGCCATCGATCTTCAGGCAGCCTTTGCGGCCTTTGTTCAGAACATGGCTCTCAATTCCGGAGCCCTCGCCTCTCAGGCACCCCTCCAGCCCTACGCTGGAGGAAATGTTATTCAATTGCCACCACTCCCTCCTCTGTTCAACAATCCTCCCCCGGGGATTGGGAACGCCGAAGGGGTCATGGCGCAGGATACCGCCTCCCAAGAGGCCCAATCCAGGGATAAACGACCCTTGATGAAGGAGAAACCCCGGACCTCTGCACTTGAGAGGCTTGGGGGAGCTCCCGTACGCCGAGGGGTCCAAGACCGCCTCGGCAAACAGGAATTCAGCAGGCCTCAGGAGAGTGGAGCCTCCGTTTCGGGAGCCGAGGGCATACCTCCGCCCCGGAGCAAGGGCAAAGCCCTCCTCCACGCCGATGACGCTAGACACCAGATCAATCAGGCGCAATCCTTCCGGGCCAACTCCCAAGGGGTTGCTCCGAAGGATCCCAAGGACGAAATTATTGAAGCCCTCCTCCGTCAACTTGAGGAGAATCGTCAGGCACCGCCGACGGCTTCCACAGCTAGGCCAGATCCGGAGTACGCTGACCTCCGGGCGCAGGTGGAGGAAATGAAGCGTAAGCTCGCCGAAGGCTCAGGCGAGCCCCTCATTCAACTCCGCACTAGAACGCCCTTCACCCCGAGGGTGCTGGCGGCCAAAATCCCCCACAAATACCGGGGGCAACCCATCAAGCCGTATGAGGGGAAGACGGATCCCCAAGAGCACTATAGCCGTTACCAAAACAGCATGATGATGATGGGGGCATCGGATGAATACTTATGCCGTTGGTTTCTTTCCACCTTGGAGGGACCCGCGTATGAGTGGTTCAACCGGTTGCCCGAAGGCAGCATTGATTCTTGGCAAGAACTTGCCCACCGCTTCCTTACGCAGTTTGCCGGGAGGCACCGCTCAAAGAAACACTTCTCCCATCTTCTGAATGTGAGACAACAGAAGGAGGAAACCCTTCGGAGTTTCCTGGAACGCTGGAGGCAGGCCTCCCTCGAGGTCGAAGGCGCTGATGACAGGACACTGATGGCCCTCTTCCACACCGTCCTCCGCAACGGTAACTTCTCTCGGAGCCTTATCACTGATCCCCCCCGCGATTATACAAAGGCCCTTCAGCGGGGGGACCGATATGCCGAAGCGGAGGAGATCGAGAAGGACCGCCGCAACACGGATCCTTCTCAGAAGAATGAAGGCAGGAATCGGCCCGGAGGACCCCCTCCTCCGGCCAACCGCGAGGCTCAATATAATGATCGCCCCCGAGGTGGCCAAGCCAGAACCGGGGGCGGTTACAAAAACAATCCGAAGGCATGGGCGCAACCCGTCCTCCTTGAGCACCCACGCACTCCCCTGACGCATCCCGTCAGCGTCATCCTCGATCATGCTGAAGAGCGGGGGCTCGTTGAGCGAGACTCCCGTACGCCCCTCGAGATCTATGCCATCGGCCCTGATGAGCCATATTGCCGCTTCCACCGCCACCATGGACACAAGACCGACGACTGCCATCAGCTGAAGAACGCCATCGAGAGGCTGATACAGGCAGGCCACTTGTCTCAGTTCATCAGGGGCCCTCCTCCCCAGGGCCCCCTCCATCATCAAGGGCCTCCGCCGAAGGCCAACAAGTGGGTGAACCCCAACACCATCCCTTTGGGAAACCCACAGGGGAAGAAGCGAGAAATTGGGGGCCTCGACGACGAGGGGGAGGGC